ATATATATATATATATATATATAGGAAATTATTAGGACAAAAAGCTAATACAGGTTTAGCTTTTTTTATCCTATTTTCCACTTATTATGAATTCAAACTCTTATTTGGTGGTGAAATGCAAGTTAAACTTGGTTGTTATTTACACCTCCAGTTGTAAAGTGACTATTCAACAGTTTGACAGTAGAGGTACAATGTTTTTCTTTTCAAAATATAACTACATATCTGCAGCTTCTGTTATTTTAATCTTATATACAGTTAGCTGAAAGTACAAAGTACAATATTTTGTTGTAAAAGACGCTAAAAAAGAACTTGGCTGTATAAAATATTTTAAGAAATTTAAGTACCAGTTTATGATATCCAAACCAAGGTTCTCATCTATGTATATTATCAGGTGTAATTACATGAATTTAATCAGCACTTAATTATACCTTTTTTAATGCTATCAACATGTTTTTTTTGTGTGTAAGGCTGAATAAAACATTCAATTATAAAATTAACCTGGAGTTTTTAAAATAGGAAAACATGAAAGATTGTAAACTTTTCAAATTTTTAAATATATCAGCAGATTGTTTTTTTTGTGTGTGTGTGGTATGTCTAGACTTTTAGGTTTTAGAAGAAGCCCTCTAGTAGTTGGAAGAAAAGTTAATCTTCGAACTGAAGTAATGACAACAGCAAGTAAATCATTGTTGGAAACATTTTTTAAGAAAGGTAAAATATGTTTTGATGTATAACACCTGAGCAAGTGAAATATGAATATATATATGATGTATCATATTTAGATTACTTTTAATCACATCTTGTTAAATAAAATTAATAGATAGTTCATGAAATTACAGTCTTATTGTGATGATGTATCACACTTTTTATGAACTAAAAATATAATGTTTATTGTAACATTGGTTTTGATATTTATAATATAAGGCTGTGGACAAAAGGACTTGGTGTTCCGTGATTTGTGCTCTTAAAGGACAAATGGTTTTTACCATAAGAATTGATTAAACTGTCTTAAGTGGAAATGATGATCAGAGAATAAACATTTTGATAGAGAGAAAACAAAATATGTATGTCAGTAGCAGTTTTATTAGAGAAACATAACTGATTTATGCATCTGTTCCAATAGAACTTTTCTGTTTGCTGGTGTTTGTCTAATAGTCAGTTAACATTATGATGTATGTAAATATGATCTGTCTGATTAATTTTTAATGAATGAACACTTTAGTACAAATAAAACTTGCTAGAACTTTAGAGCAGATATTGGGTAGAGAATATAGAACATCCAAACAAATAATGTGTATGGTTTTAACACTAGAAATAAAGTACCTTAAAACACCAAATTTGTTATTTTTCTTTGGACACTCAATGTTTCACTCCACATTATATCTTTTTGTTTTAGTGATTCGTTTTATTTTGTCAGTAAACATAATCTAGGTATGATTACAGAATATGGTGTTGTTGGAAATATTTTAAACGGATAAGATTTTTGTTGTGAAACAAGACTTATTTGCTGTTGTAAAACCCAAAGATTTTAAAATTTTGTTTTGACCAGGTATAAAATAGTTTAGAACAAAATTTTGAACAGAATTTGTAATTGTGGTTGGAATTCAGCAAATATAAGAAATGCCAATGAAATATTTATAACTTTAGTTATTTAATATTTTGTTATTACTGAAAAAATTAATGTGTGTTATGAAAGGTTAGAGTGCATGTATGTACTGTAGTCTCTTTATCTTTGACCTAAAAACACATTTGCTATATTAATTATATGTGCTAGTTTTAACATAAAACTGCTTTAACCGAAAGTTTAATTAACAATAAGATTGACATTGCAGATATTTCTTGATTATCACATTTTTTAAGGGATAAAAATATCTGATGGATGGTGTGTCCCTTCTAGTTTGTTGGTCCTATTTCTGTAGATATTCTTACAACCAATATTTTTATAATATATGCTGCAGGTTGTATCTTGGTCTCTTGTATTTGTGCTTGTTACTGCAGTATGTTTTTTGAGATGGCTTGGTTTTTTAAAAAATATGTGTATACAAATATATTTTCCCCCTTAGATAACAATACATGTTTCTATGGTAAGTGTTTCTACTGTAAACGTACTGATCCAGCTTGTGGTGAAGGAGATGTCCTTGAAGGAGCTGTTGTTTTATGGCTTCCAGAGACTTTTGTGCTCAAGAAATATCGTAGTCCATGGCAGCGAACATACAAAAAAAATGTTCCAGCCAGGTGAGATTTAAGAGTGATTTTTTAACATGTTTGGTTAAGTTTATAGTTTAAAAAAATTTCTTTTTTGTTTGATGATTTATTATGTTAATTACTGAAGCTGAGTTTAATGTGTACTTGAATAGAAATGTTTAACAAGATATAATACTTGTACATGTATTTGAGCATTTTTTCATTTCTAAAATTTTAGTTTTCAGTCTGATATGTAGCTTACAGGAGCATTTCCCAAATTTTTGTCATCCACACCTCCTTTAATAAATATGGTTTCTTGTGCACTCTTTTTTTAAATGAGTGAAAAAGTGAATTATGTGGTGAGGTGTAGTACATGAACTTGCATGAAAATGCTAAATGTGTTGTAGTAATTATTTACTATTTCCATTAATGTAAAATATATTAAAATGCTTTTTGAACAGAGTTGTTTAAACATTTGTTTAACAACAAGTAAAAGCTTGGAATGGTCTGTTCTTTCATTGTGAGTTAGTCTGTGGACCAGACTAGTTTCGGAGAATTCCACTCCTCATCAGTGACCCTGGACACTACCACCAAATGAAACTTCAGACCAAACCAAGCCTTTATAGTAGTGAGATATCAAAAATTAAAATGGTGTATTTAAGAAGAATTAAATTGTGGCGGAATGCTACGAGTTCTTCAAATATCTATATAATGATAGGTTTCTTGTTGTGAGTGTAAAACACTTAAATACACCATTTCGATTAAAATGATTTATTTTGCATTATTGAACTATTGACTTTACTCTAATCCCTCACACTCCCTGAGAGATCATTTGTGATCCCTTGGGGAAGACATGCCCCACACTTTTGGAAATGCTGTCTTAAAATAATATTCAGTAATTTTATGTATCTTTTTTCCACAATATAGACCACACATATACAAATATTCAGTACATAAACACATTTTAATGTAGGAGGATTTTTCTGTTTCATGTTTTCTTAAGATACTCTGTCATTCTAAAGTTTTCATCATGTAGTGCATTGTTCCTGTGATAGAAATGTAAATTAAAATTGGGAAAATTCAAAAAGTATATGGTAAGGTTATTTCTTATCTCATTGTGTATTACTTGGTTCCTCTGTTTTTCATCAGATAAGATATTATGTATTTTATATCTTGCAAAACTTTGATAATCTCAAGACTAAATAATGACATTCTTAATTTAATATTGTTGTACGCACTGTTTGATATTGAACAAGGCATGAAAATAAAGAAGCAAACTGCATGAGATGTACATGTGTGTTATTTTTAACTGACCAATATCTTTTGCATTATGAGATTTATACCATTTGATATCTGATAATTTTTTTTTACTGGTCATCCTGAAGTTAGTATTGGACTTGGTATAGGCTGGTATTACTCTAGTTTTAAGTCCTTGAAGTGTGATTGTTAGTCTTTAATGTTTTTTCTCGATAAATGTACATGTATATGAACTCTGGATTTTATTCTAATTTTCTACCACAAAGCTTTTACAGTCACTTTATGAATAACGAAATTGGGGTTATTACCCCATATTGAAATTTAATATGCAGTTTCATATAATTTAACCTGCCTGTATTCTAAGTGAAAAAGAATGGTCAGATAACATTTTGACAGCTAAGGTTTCTAAAGCTCTTTATAGTATGCATGTTTCAATTTTGAGATTAAGGAAGACTATTTTATATAACAGGTTGAGGATGTTTTATTAAAACAAATTTGAATATTCAAATCAGCAAATCTTGTGGCAGCCACAGCTTATATAAAGGTGTGGTTGAATGGGGTGTATCAGAACTACATTATGACATTGTTTGTCATTTCACAGGTGGATATGATGCCACCAAAAACCGATTGCTTTTGGAAAGGGTATGTAATAATCCTTTCTGATGCAAAATATTCATACGCTCAGTTCATAAAGATACGTTTAAATGGGGATTCAGAATTTCCAAGAGAAGGATTTCCTTGTGGTTAATGGCATTGGAAAACAAAGGAATATGGATTAACTTGGTGCCCCAGAACCATTTGGAAAGAGACCTACAACAAGTTGTACCCCAGCCATGGTGAGCAAAATGAGGTGTTTTGTAACTGTTGACATTCTATGAACACAAAGGTCAGTGGAAAAAAAAAAGCTACCCATGGCTACAGAATGGAACATAATCTAGAAGGATCTCTATGTAAAAAAAGTGACAAAAGTCACAAGGATGCAGGCTTTTATATCTGTTCAGCCATCGTATAACTCAAGCAGCTGAGGAATGAAATGGTTCTTCATGCTATTCAACACAAAGACATTCTGATTGTTAAGTTGCTAGAAACAGCATTTGTGGGTTTATGTACAATTGGACTCTTGAAGCCTGTGCTGAGAGACTATCTTTGTATTCTAGATGGATTATGTATAGTGTGCAGGGAGGAGGGGTGTACTTTTAGCATGGTAGTCATTTGCAATGGAAGCTGCTGCAGGATAATTTTCGAAATCCACAGTCTTTAGAAAGAACATAATCAGTTACAGTGTCTTGAGCTGTAACAACATAGTAAGACTGCAAAATTGTTTTATTATAATGTACCCAACCTCTGTATATCATGTTGAAATTCAAATTAGAACTTTTATAAATAATTTTGATATTTATGAGGAATCTTTTATGTAGATGGTTAAGTATTATTAGGGTATAAGATAAAATGTACTACTTAACTGGTGATTTCTTCACTAGGTTTCCTAAAAAAAAGAATGTTAAAGATTTGATTTTTTCTTTTTTTTACCTTGACCTAATCAGTTGTGTCAAAGTTAAATTTTGTACAGCATGCTAGGGTTTTTGAGCAAAAACAGGTTCCATGAAAAACTTTGGTAATTAGGACTAAGACCTAATCTTGGCTGAGTATAAGCTCATTGAGGATTTTTCACAAAAATTGATTTTTTCAGGTTATTTATGAAACTTAATCAACTTTCACTAACGAACATATTTCTTCTTTCATAATTATGAAACCTAACATTTCGCTATGTGGAACAGATTTTAATAAACCTTAGGATCTGTAGTTTATTTCCGAAAATTATTTATCAAACTGTAACAAAACTTTTAATACCTAGTTATAATAATGTGTTACTTTATGATATAGCAACAGTTTTACTTTGTTCAAATTATAATATTGTTTTACCCTATAATGTAATGCAAATACATGCTTTAAAAAAACCTTTCGTTTTCAGACTTTTTCGATTTTATAAAGCATACCAATAAAGTTTCACTTGTTTCGTGCAGAAAACTTTTGACAAAGAAATTTTACATTCTGGAACTGGTTTATTGAAATAGAAGAAAGGTTTTTTTATTTTTTCATTTACAATTAATAATCTATAATAGGCTTTGCTCAAATTTATTTGGTTAACTCAATTAACAGATGGGAAGTGGACCCTAGTTTCTGTGCTCAAGTTCAAAAATTATCATTGTATCAGTCTGGATCTCGACTTCTTGATCTTATAGATGCATCAGTTTTTGATTATTTAATTGGTAATGCAGACCGACATCATTATGAAGTTTTTGAAGATATCAAGGACAGCATGGTTCTTCTTCTTGATAATGGAAAAAGGTGTGTGTGTGTGCTGAACAGTAGATACATTTTATTTAAATATTTCCAAAATCAGGGCATTCATAACATAAGATTACAAGGTTTTCTATTATCTAATATTAAACAAAAAAGTATTTATATTTTAATGTAATTTATGTTATTCACTTGATCAAGAATATTTTTTACTGTTTCACCCTAGTATAGTTGTAAAAAAAACCGTGAATAACTGACTAGTAAGATCTTAGTATACACGTGTTTTACATTTTTGCCTAATAGTACCCTATAAAGAAAAGGTTTTAAGCTATATAAAAAGACAAAAATTTCTCTTATTTATAGTTACACTAAATATTTTGTATACTGCTTTAAACATGGTGATCTTTGAGGAAATAAATAAATTAGAAAGTATGTGTGAAAATCTGTTATATCTATATTCAATTTTCAGCTTTTGTTTAATATGGATTCAGTATGTTGAAGAGTTTTAAACCTGAAGTTTTAGCTGATTATTTGTGTAAAATACTACGTCTCTAAAGCTTAAAAGTAAAGTTTTAATGGCTTATTAGGATAATTACCTTTTTACTGTTTTGCTAATTTAATATTTCTATCTTTGCTGTTTTATGTTTTGTGTACCTATTTAAAAGTTGTGGTTATTTGGTCTTAGATTTTTTGATTTTTTATTTTGTAGCTTTGGAAACCCTTATTGGGATGAACTGACAATTTTGGCCCCATTATATCAGTGTTGCAGGTAAGGTAAAACTATAACCTCCAAAATGGTAGCTTGTGATTTTTGTATTTAAGTGCTTTATATATTTTATGTAAACTTGGGTATGAAGATCTGTTTTTAATAGTATTTTATCTGATAGTGAGTTTGCGTGCATTTCTTCAGTTATCGAAACTTTCTAATTGTATTTTATTTTTCAGTGTATTCATCTAGTAATTTTAGTGCCTTATAACTTCTTTGGCACTCATTTGTGCTTTATGTTTTGTAAATAATGTAGCTAGTTGATCTTTTATTAAATTATTGAAACAGTCACAAACCAACTACAAAGCTTAAATCGTGTATTTACTGTTGGGAAAACATATGTGTTACAGATGAAGATAATTTCCAAAATAATTTATATATGTTTATAATAATAAATACTAATTTGACAATACTAACAGAATATGTTAATTTTATTCTATACATGTGAACTATATGTATGCCTTATTTATCATAATTAAGTGCATTCCAAAAGTTGTAAAATTGGAATCTAGTTTTTTGATACCAAGTTTTTAATGCTACCATGTTATGTACTAGTAGGAATTGTTAACCACTTAGTATTCTAAGATTTCATAAGATTTAGATCTAAGTTATTAGAGTTTTTTCAAAGAAAACTCTTTAACATTTTAGCTTTTTAGCTAAACAGATTGTATATTTTTGGCAGTAATAACCAGAGGGCTTATCTGTACTTAGTCAATACAAGACAGGTGACATCAAATACAAGTTGGGTGTGGTTAAGGAGTTAATTATGCATAACTTGTTAGAGGTTAATAAAATTCTACTAGATAAAAGTAGTAAATGGAATGAGTTACTGTAAAACAGAATAAAACATAACCTGATTAAACCATTTTTATGTTCCTTTCAAGATGATATTATAATCAGCAGATATTGTAAGACACACACCAGTTGATCATTCATAACAAATATAATACAGTTTGAACATGCAAAAGTGATCTAACATTGCTTTTTTACTATAGAAGAAATGAAGCTCATCAGAAGGATTTTTGGTGCTCTGTGAACTTGTAGAATACTTTGACAGTACACTTTCACTATGTACAATTATCAACATCTTTTTGTTGCTCTCTATCTCTTCATATCTTTTCAGCCTTTTTAGCTTTGTTTTTACACTGTCAATTAATATAGTTGGTACTGATGATTTTTTGAAATCCCTTCTTGTTGTAGCTTTATTTAGTCTACGAGTTCTTTCTGAAAGCAATTTCTGCCTGTGCTCTTCCTTCTTTACAAATATTTTCTATCCTAGACAAATCTCTTTCTTTCTCCATCAGTTTTTTCTACCCTTTCTTTGCTCCCCCTTTCCTCTTAAATGTTAGTTCCTTCTTTTCCTCTTTTGCTTCAAAGACAGTTCTTCTTTAACTTGTTTTTCCTCTTCTAATCATAATTTGTACTACTTAGGGTCTACTTTAGCTGATTGCAGCATATATTTGTACATTCCAATACTGTCCACACTTCCACCATTTTTCCTCACAAGACCCTTTCTGAAATTCAATGTCTTTATTGTCTCAGATGGACAACATTGTTCTGATGTAATTGTGTTCTTAATGTCACATAGAGACGTTTTTACATCACTGTTATGATGGTGAACAAAGTGTGAATCTTTAACAACCTTCTACTGTTGTACTGATACCATCATTTTGTAATATCCTCACATGAGTAAGCTATCCAATGCTACTTCATTTTCATATAGTATATGTGGCATAGTTCCAGTCAATCTGCATATTGCAGGCTGTCCTCCATCTTTATTTTGTGCTAAAAGATGCAAGTACCTCATGATTTGATTATCTAGAGGTAAGTTTTTTATAAGATACCTACAGACTGGAAGAAGCAAAGCATCTGTTTTATCAAAATGAAAGCCTAATTTTGTTCCCTTACTTAGTAGGAACTGTTGAGTGGGTTCAATAATATATTTCAGATCTCTGACTCTCTGCAAATTTTTTGTCAACCTTTAATTGTTCCTTTACATATTTCTTATTGTTACATCTGATTTAATGTATTCATTAAATAATGCCATATGTGTTTCTTCTAATACTTCCAACAAAATGGGGCTATTGGTTCCTCTATCAGAAATATTTTAGAAGTCATTCAAAAATTGGAGTTAACCTTTCCCAGACGGGTCACTGGTGGAAGGCATTGGTTGAATCACATTTAAAATTTTATTGAACTACTAT